GGGTCGTGTAATTGAAAATCCCAACGATTATGTCGAAGAACATTACGATGCCCATCAGTATCATGGCCAGGATGGTTTGGGTCAATACGTCTACGGCTACAAGGATTGGAATCAGGGTAAAAACGAAAAGAAAGATGCCAGTGGCACCGTAACCGGTACCTACAAATATGTTCAACCTCATGGCCGTGACTTCATTGCCAACTACTATGCCGATCGTACTGGCTTCCATGTCGAAGATAATCGCCCCGCTCATTTGAAGAATCCCCCCACCAAAACTCCAGCCGTCAAAAAAGCCGAAGAGGAACATTTCCGTCTGTGGGGTGAATATGCTGCCGCTGCTGGTCACAACCCCGATCCTTATGCTCCCGAATATCAAACCGGTGAAGGCCGCTATGAACCACAATCTTCTGATCAGGAATATGTCCATCAAGAACCCGAATACGTACCCGGTCCCGAAGAACATGGCGAACCCAAAGGTTTCTACTATGCTTTCGATTACAATGTACCCTTGTTGCGCAACAAGAAGGAACGCGAAGAATTGGAACAATTGCGTGCCATCAACAACAAGGATTAAATGCAATAGTAAAGTTTCTTGTATCTAGGACATGTTTAAGTTTTAATTTATAAATTATTTATTTTATGTATACTTCCTGCAATTAAATTAATTTATATGTAATAGCTACGTCCTTTTTTCCACCTCGTCAAATGCACTACGAATGTACCTCATGTGATTGTAAATAAATAAAAAAAAAAAAAAACACAAACGACCGTAATAAAATTTAGATTTTTAATTAATAACAACAACATGAAATTGCATTAGGTTTTTCGGAACATATTGGTTCCAGGGAAAACATACGGAAAATAATGTGAATTTTTAGGAAAAGCGGATGGCTGTGGTATGGTAAATGTTTCTCCCTGTCCCTCTCTCTCTCTCCGAAAAACTCACTTACATATGAACATGCAAGGTCACAGTATTCAAAGAGTCTTGAATAAGTAGTCCAGTATGGAGCTACAAGGATAGGAAAGGATGCCACTGCAAGAGCACTAAAAGTATAGACAAGGATACTACTCAAAGAGTCTTAAATAAGACATGTGGTCCATGGTATAGAATTTTGTAAACTATTGCAGATATATTTCTAAATTGTTTTTTTTTTTTTTTGTACTATACAGTCACGGACAAAATAATAGGTCACCTCTCTTTATTTCCAACAAAATACAGGGTGAGATGAAAAAACTGCACCCGACTTCAGACAGCTGTCATTTCTAAAATTATTCCAGTGACAGCTCATTATATTGTTTACAAGCGTACAAAAGCATTTTGGTGAGAATTTTCCAGAAAAAAAGTTATTCGTGATGGAATTCAAGCGTGATTGTGTGATTTCCTTATATTTGGCTGGAAAACCACAAGTTGCTATCCTTAGGTCACTTCAGCATTTAAATGTGAATAAATCTTTTGTGTTTCGTAACATCGTTGGTTACCGTGATACTGGTAGCGTAGCCGGACGTCAAGGAAGTGGACGGAAGAAAACAGCAACATCAGCAGAAATGGTTCGAAAAGTAAAAAAGCGGCTTGATCGAAACCCGCGCCGCAGTGGCCGAAAAAATGGTTCGTGAGCTGAACATATCGCAATATTCCATACGGCAAATATTGAAAAAATGAGCTTGGGGTAAAGCCATTGAAATTCCAAAAAGTGCAAGAACTTACACCCCAACAGAAACGAAAAAGAGACTCAAAAGAGGTAAAGAGTTGCTTCGCTAGGCCGAAAGTGATGAACTGCTGAATTTGGTTTTCTCCGTCTCCGATGAGAAAACATTCGTTGTCCAGCAGTTTGTAAACAAACAAAATTATGGCGTTTGCTTGTCAAAGAGGCCAGCTGAAAATGTGCACCTTCTGTTGGCCACCAGAACTCAAGCTCCGGCCATTGTGATGGTGTGGGCCGCCATAACAGCCGATGGTTGCTCTCCGTTCGTATTAATCGACCTTGGCATCAGAATAAACGCCGAATGTTATGGCGAAAATATTTTGGAGGGTGTATAAAAGCCCTGGGCATGCAAACATTTTGGCCGCAGATCTTGGACATTCCAACACGAATCAGCACGCGCCACCCAAGAATGTTTACAAAATGAGGTTCCTCGCTTCATTTCCAGCCATTGTGCATCCAAATCTCCGGATACCAATCCGTTGGACTATTGTGTCTGGAGTATTTTGGAAAGCAAGGTTGGCACTAAAAAATACCAAAGTGTCGATCACCACAAGCAAGCGCTTCGCCGGGAATGGGTCAAAATACCGCAGAGCAACATTCGGGCAGCGTGTGACGATTTCAGTGGCCGTTTGAAGACCATAATTCGTGCCAAAGTTAACCAATTCGAACAAAACTAAACTTATTCTAAAATTTGATGCAATTTCCGAAAATTTTTACTTTTGTTTAATGAAATTTAAAAAGAATGTAGTTTTCGGTCTCACTCTTTACAGATAAAAAATGTTATTATGTGCAAAATTGGAACGAAAAATTTGATTCGAATATTTATATCCAATTTTATGCTAAATGATAAATTTCAAATTCATCTTAGAGTCTGTTTGAGAGAAATATTTACAGATATCAAGTGGTAAAGAATCACCGATATAAGTATTGAAAATTGGGACTTTCTAAGTGTGAGGTACCAAAGAGGTTCGAAGGTATATATCATCTTTACAACAGATCTTGCGTAAGCAAAAATATTTGGATGTGTGAAATTTGAAGAATATTAGACGCTTTCGTAAAGAGTTTTGCTTTTCAAAAATCTTGAACCCTAGATGGTGGAAGTACCGTACCAGAAGAAATGGTGCAATCTCTACCATCTTTATAACATATCTTGTGTTGATAGAAATATTGAGCTGTGCCAAGTCTGAATGGAATCCGATGTTAATTTCGCGTTTAATGAGCTTCAGGAAACTCAAAATTTTGACCCTATGCGAGGAAGGTACCAGAAGGAGTTACCCGATATATCCCAACTTCACAGCAGACCTTGGTCTAATAAAAATATTATGATGTGTGTAATTTGAAGAGAACCGGGTGCTTATTTCGGATTTTATGATCGTATTTGTTTATTCAAAATGTTTGCCGCTTTGTGGGGGAGCTACCAGAAGGAATGGTCCGATCTCTACCATCTTTATAACAGATCTTGTGTTGATGGAAATATTGGGATATACCAAGTCTGAATGGAATCGAAAGTTAATTTCGCGTTTTATGAGCTTCATGGAAACTCAAAATGTTGACCCTAAGTGGGGGAGCCAGAAGGAGTAGACCGATATATCCCTTCTTCACAGCATATCTTGAGTTAGTAGAAGAAATGGGTTGTGTGAAATATAAAAAGAACCTTGTGCTTATTTCGGATTTTATAAACGTTGTGTTTATTCAAAACTTTGACCCTTTGTGGGGGAGCTACAAGAAGGAATGGTCCGATCTCTACCATCATTATAACAAATCCTGTATTTACAGAAATATTGAGATGTACCAAGTCTGAAAGGAAACGGATGTTCCTTTAGTGTGTTAAGAGTTTCTCGAATATTCAAAATTTTGGCCCTTTGCGGGGGACATACCGGAAGGAGTGGACCGATATGTTCTATTTTAACACCAGGCCTTGGGTTAACAAAAATATTGGGATGTGTGAAATTTGAAAAGAGTCAGACTCTTATTTCACATTTTATAAGAGTTATAATTATTCAAAATTTTTGACCCATTGTGGGGGACGTATTTGATGGAGTTTAACGATATTGTCCATTTTCGCACCTAACATAGTACTCATGCAAATATTAGGATTTGCAAAGTTGGAGCAAAATCTGCAATAAAATATTTTCTTTGAAAATTTTGACATTTGGTGCGAAAGGTACCAGAATGAGTTGACCGTTATTGCCCGTCTCCAAACTCGATCAACGTTTGACAATAATATTGCGATGTGCCAAGTTAGGATCAAATCAGATACTCCCTCCGAGAGTTAACCTGCGCACCATCCAGACAGAGAAACAGACGGACATCCCTAAATCGCCTCCAAATGTCCGGAAACGGATTTGGTCCAAAGAGGCCTTGGTTTTAAAACCTTTATTTCGATGAGGTACGTTTTGGCCGCATCAAATGATATATACCCTCTTTAGCCATATGGCTGAGGGTATATAAAAAGTATTATATCGTTTTATAACAGAATATCCTTCTACTTTCATTTCTCAAAGGTCCATAAAGCTAAATTATTTGTGGCGACCCTAGCCCCCGCTGAATCTACCCCAGCTTCAAAATAAGAAAACACGTCTTTACACATCATTTGAATTTCCTGTTGTTTTGGTTCGTGTATCATCAGACCAATTTTACGAAATTCATCCTGGATTTAATAGTTTTAGCCTTTTATCCATGTACTTGTTAAGAAGAATCGATAAACTTACCGCTGCAACAAACCCAACATTTGAATATTTACGACAACGATTTACAAATATGAAATATATTAAACTTATTGCATAAATAAAACTCTGAGTGGGTTTTTTGTGTATATATCAGTTTTTTTGTTTGTTTTATTACATATTCTTTTTTTAAGTTCATTCACAATCATATAAAAAGATTTATAATATATTTTCTATGTATATATAATTTGTGTTTTTTTGTTGTAATATAAGAAAATTAACGCAATATTTTGCTTTTGTATTTCGGGTTGATTGGTTGGTATCTGTTCTTATTTTATTTAACATTCTTTTGCAAATGTACTTATTTTTTTTTTTTTTTTTGTATTTTTTTTTTTTTGATTTTTTTTAATTAAACATAGAGTATTGAAATTTTGATTATTTATTTGCATTCATTGTTTGTTTTCGTTACATACCTAAAATAATAATAATAATTTAAATACAACATTATAAACTAAATAAATATATATTTATAGAAAAGAAAAAAATAAAACAAAATAACTAATAGTAGTTTCGTAAATAATTGGTTTTTATGTAATAAATTCTTTTTTTATTTTATAATTTGTTAATACGCTGCCCAAGATTCTAGCTAGTTGTACACGACATGGTTTCAAGCTTAGTTGCCAATGAAGAGTAGAGGAAAAATATTTGATAGGAATGACTGATGTTGGAAAAAAAGGTTGAAATGAATAGGTGAAAAAATTAGTAGCAAACACTTTTAAATATTTATTATTTAATTTTATAAATTTGTAATAAAAGCAATTTCCTTTATGCCTTTCCAATGCAGTGTGATGTGTTAAAAAGGATTTTTTCTTCTTTTATTGTTTTATTCCATCCAATTATTTCTTTTCATACGATTAAAAAACATTTCCATTATTTTATTGTACAACCTTATATATTATTCTCCACTTGTTATTTCCTCGATTTCTCTTCCAAAACAGATCCCCTTACAATTCTTTGTAAGCTTCATATAGTTTTATTCAAAACGATACTTTTATTCGCAATTGAATATTGCAAATAACAATTTTCAAGAGACATATGGTGGTATATTTGTTATAAGATAATTACTCTCTGGCTTATTTCTCTCTCAATTATGTCTACTCTCATATGTACTCGTCACATAGGCAATGATGCCTGCCTTACAACGAGAACAGATGGCTCGTGACAGTTCAAATTAATCTACAGACAATGTCAGACGCATAGACGGCAGAAAGCAATTAATAAGGAAGTTAGAGAAAAAGAGACAACCAAATACGACTGTGTTAAAGAACTAATAGTGACATAATTTGTCACAAAAATATTAAGAATGTAATTTTCTTAAATTTAATAGAATAACAATGTAAAATAAAATGTCAAGTTCAGATTCCACTTTATGTTGACATGCATTTTGATGTTCGTATTTTGTTTTGTTGAGTTGGCCAGTGCCACAACGAGTTCATTGCTTTCATTGTTTCTTTGTTTTCAAAGCGCTACTCATATGAAGTTCATTGCTTCATGCTTACTCATATGTTGGGCGACAGTTTAGAGTTTCCAATTGGAAACTCAAATACTATTGTAATGAATCAGAATTCGGCCAATGGAAATGAAGAATATCACAATAGTAAATTTGATTGAGTGAAATTCCAAAATATGAGTATGAATGAAAATATGAAATGCAAATTTAAAAATATCACATACACACATACAAATATACTTCGTTGTAAAATAGATTTGTAAGAACTCTTTTCTGATTGGTTAACAGAAAAGAGTATTGAGTGATATCTAGATTTAAGAATTTTTGTTAGAATTAAGAATTTTATTATAAATACAAAAAGGAAAAATAAAGAAGTCAGACTTGTGCTGACATCCATCAAGCTTGCTCTATCAGCAAGCCAACAAAACATAAAAGTAACTTATTACACCAGGTTAAGAAAGAAAACCTGGGGATTACAAGTCTCAAATAAAATCCAAACAGGATAAATATCGACGTGGACTCTTCAGTTTAGAACATGTCGATCTTTAATGTTTATAATCGATTGCGTAATACAAAATCCTGAGATGGTAGCAATATTTTGACATCTCATTCCATAGTATAAGCGTAATAGTATTTTCCAATTGATAAAGGAAAGTTTAATTTAATTGGAAATTAATTTAAAGACACATTTTCTGGAAAAAATAACTTTAATTTTGCACCGTTTAATTGTTTCACGTTGTAGTAGATATAACTGACTTTGAAATCCACTTGAAATATAGTGTAATAAGTTTTTGGGATTTTGCATTGGGAAAGCCAAATGCAACATGTGCAAATTATGCAACATTTGTAAGTAAGTAAAAATTGGGGAGGGCTCGCATTTAAAATGCTCTCTCCCTTTGGAGTAAACAGTTAAGTGTTCTGTTTAGGAGGTGTTTAAATGTTATTTTTTTGTGAGGAAAAAAGATATGTAAGCTAACATTTAAATGGGCAATAATATTTGGTGATTTGTGATAGGGGTTTTGTAGTGTGTCACCATCACATTATGTTGCCATGCATTTTGATATTCAGTATTTTGTTTTGTTGAGTTGGTCAGTGCCACAACGAGTTCATTGCTTTCATTGTTTCTTTGTTTTTCAGAGCGCTGCTCATATGAAGTTCATTGCTTTATGCTTACTCATATGTTGGGCGACAGTTTAGAGTTTCCAATTGGAAACTCAAATACTATTGTAATGAATCAGAGTTCGGCCAATGGGAATGAAGAATATCCCAATAGTAAATTTGATTGAGTGAAATTCCAAAATATGAATATGAATGAAAATGTGAAATGCATGACAACATATGTAAAAACATCACATACACACATACAAATATACTTCATTGTAAAATAGTTTTGTAAGAACTCTTTTCTGATTGGTTAACAGAAAAGAGTATTGAGTGATATCTAGATTTAAGAATTTTTGTTAGAATTAAGAATTTTATTATAAATACGAAAAGGCAAAATAAAGAAGGGCAGACTTGTGCTGACAACCATCAAGCTTGCTCCATTAGCAAAGCCAACAAAACATAAAGTCTCAATTTATTACATGGCGATCCTGCCAAATCTTGCTCTTTAGTCAGCAAGTATCCTGCGTTCCATCCGCAGTTCCTGCGTTCTATCCGCAGTTAAAAAAAAAAAAAAAAAAAAAACATTTTTTTATTTTGAAGACACTGCCATACTGTCCGGGCAGTCCGATCCAAGCCGTGGATCGTGGATTTGAAAACACTTAATGTCGGGACCGCAGCCACTAACCATAGATGAATATAGGAAGAGAAACAGACTGATTAGGACAGAGGATGAAATAAAGATCCCGAAGGTGAGCAGACCAAGGACGAGAGGAGGCTACACGTGGAGACTAAAAAAAAAGAAAGAGCTCTCCTGATACGGGAGATAAATGCTGATCCGCCACCTCCCTGGGAACGTGCTTCCAGGCTCTGGGCACGCATCGATGAGATAGATTTCCTCTTAAGGAACTATCTCAGCACCAGAAATCAGAAGAATAAATAAAACGCTGCATCAATTTGCAGACGTTAGGACCAGTAAGCGCGTTGCGCTCGTGGTCAACAGACTATAATTTTTTTTTAAAAAAAAAAAAAAAAAACCCAATAACAAAAAAAAAATATAATATGACTTCATTAAAAATTAAATAAAAACAAAAAAGAAAAATATTATGAGTTTATGAAAACAAAAATATATTTTGATAATCATGGGAAGTACCCAAACAAAAATAAGCGAGGTGATACAGGCTACGGCCAATGCACCAACAGCCGTTAGTATTAGCATTGAGGTACTAATATTAGTTTGCATTATAATAACCTTGGTGGTTATTGTTAAGTACTTAAAAAAATATGTAAAGAAGCAAGCACGTAAGCAACAAGCTCGAGTAAGCGCGTTGCAATAATTTTTTAAAAAAAAAAAGATTAATATTGTAAAATAGTAATAGCAATAAGTCCACTCACACATCACTGATTTGGTACCATGGATAAGGTTTTACAATCGTTAGAAATTTTGTTGTCGAATGCTAAAAAATCATTAGGCAAGCCTTATACGAGGGAAACAATAGAGAAAAAGAAACTAGAAATTGTGAACCTACAGACGGATTTCAACGAGTTAGTAGAAAAAGAATATCCCAATAGTAAATTTGATTGAGTGAAATTCCAAAATATGAATATGAATGAAAATGTGAAATGCATGACAACATATGTAAAAACATCACATACACACATACAAATATACTTCATTGTAAAATAGTTTTGTAAGAACTCTTTTCTGATTGGTTAACAGAAAAGAGTATTGAGTGATATCTAGATTTAAGAATTTTTGTTAGAATTAAGAATTTTATTATAAATACGAAAAGGCAAAATAAAGAAGGGCAGACTTGTGCTGACAACCATCAAGCTTGCTCCATTAGCAAAGCCAACAAAACATAAAGTCTCAATTTATTACAGTTTGTAGTTAAGAACTAACATTAATAGTTAAAATTCTCCTCTTCTTAAAAAAGGATGGTTTGTTGTTGAAATCGCATTTCATAAACGATTGTTTTGTTAATATTGAATAAATATACAATCCGATAAACAATTATAATTCACTTATACAGATCGAAAGTATCAATATATCGATTAGCTCTAACGGTAATAATATTCTGTAACTTAAAGGATACTTAAAAAAGTCATGTTAGATTGTTACACAAGAATGTGCAACAATTATGTATACATAATTATAATTTATTTGTGAAGAGAAAAAGGAGAGGATTGTTCCTCCCTCTTCCCCTCAAATGGCAAGTAACGCTTTGATGTTTATATCATTTTAAAATGAAATAAAAAATTCTTTGCCCATGAATACTTCTGATAATTACCAAAAAGGCTAATCAATAAAGAAGTTTTGTATATTTTTCTTTGGCAAGCAAAGCTTTTCACATTCCAATTAGAGAATGTGGTGGTATATGTAAATAAAAATCTATTAATATCTGATTTTGTAATACTCAGACTTTCGAAATAGCAAATCAATATTTCGAAGGTGACATTAGTAATCAGTTGTACGACAAGAATAGATGTTTTAATTATTCGGTTATTTGAAGAATGTTTAGACACAGTAGAGAACTTTTGTAAAAGTAAGTTTCAAATAAGATAATTAATTAGTTGCTGAACTCCAATAAAAAGTTCAAAGGAGGGACCTACAAAGTCCCTCCATCAGTTAATATAGATAAAACTCTCGAGATATTTATAAATCGTGTTTTGCTTAAAATTGCGCAGTATATGCTTTATCTTACGATTTAATTTACACAATAAAGAAATTTTGTTGTACGATATTAATATTAGTGGTTGAATTTTGTCAGGTTCTTTGTCATGAACAGATTCTAAGTCTACTTACAGAAAAAATCCCTTTCGTTTACGAGAAGTTAATGCTGCTTCCCCTACCTCCCAGGGATCGTGCCACTAGGTTGTGGTGTAGGATAAACGAGATAGACTTCCGGATAAGCAGCTATTTTCTTGAATGTAAAAAGAAGAAAAAACGCTGCATTAACCTACTGGCATTAGCAACCAGTAACCGCTTGCCGCTCGTGTCCAGAACAATTTTTTACTACATGAATTTGGAAATATTTAAAAAATGTATTATTTTAAGCTATAAGAAAGAATTTCTGAAGTTCTGAACTATAGGAAGCACGCAAACGAAGATAAGTGAAGTAATACAAGCGACCGCGAATGCTCCTACGGCAGTCAGCGTGAGCATCGAGGTGTTAATCTTAGTCTGCTAAGCTAGACTGAGAGCGTTGCAATAAAATCAAAATTTAATAATTATGGAAAAGCATCGACGAAAACAATTTCCCAATTAGGATTTATACTAAAATAAATAAGAAAAATAAACTCTTTTTGGGGAGTTATATTTAATCAAAAAGTCATCATTATTTGTTATCTTGTGAAATGATAAAAACAATCAATTTTTGTTCTCAATAAAGAAATTTTGTAAAAAGAGATTTTTTTTGAATCTCACTCATAATCTAATCTATATATTTTAAATAAGATGTTATGAAGAAAGAAGTTATGAATTGAACAAGCGACAAATTATGCTGAGATCATATTACAAGCAGTAATATTGTCTACAATGTAAGCGTGCTGTTGTTGTACTGGCTGTGCGATGATTGTTCTGTCCCACAGTTCTCTCAGTTCTGTCCCACAGTTTTCTCTCTTCATAGTTTGTAAGACTCAGCAAGTAAGAATCATTATGAATGTAAAATATAATAAGAATGAATGCGAAATAGAGTATGAACCATATGTTGAAGGAAATTCCTTGATATTTGCAGATCTATGCAGAAATCATGTACAAATTCAATGGAATTCCCTCACAAAAGAAATATCAATAAATAAGACACTGGCTCTTAGGCCAAGCTAGAAAATTAAAGTTGAATTTCGTTTATAACAACACTACCCGAATGTAGGGTAACTCAAAACGAATCAATTTTTGATCTCAATAAAGAAATTTTATATAAAGGGAATTCTTAATGAAAATTTTAAAAATATTTTAGAGAACATTTCTGAACGTTCACTGTTATTACTATTTCGTTGTTCTACACCATTTTTTACCTACTGAATTTAATTTGCGAAATTGGTACCTGGATGCTGGGTTACCGCCTGCTGCAGTAATTGTATAAAAATGAAATATTATTAATTTATAACATTTCTTAAATTCCTTGAGATGAATAATTTGCAAGCTCCTATATCCGGAGTGTTACGTTATGGATTACAACCAAAAAAATACAATCTAATAATAATTATTATTAATTTGTATGCTTTTTGTATTCTGCGAAGAAAAATCAGTTCAGATCTACAACTCAAAGAAAATAACAGTAAAGAAAGTCTTGCATATTTAGTAGAGCTTCACATCACAATTAAATTTTTTATGGTAGAATTAAATCATACAAGCTATGATTATAATTTAAAGTTCAAAGGACTAAATATGCCGAAGAATTTTTAGCTTTTCAATTGGGGCTTGTATTGCCTATTTGGTGCACAATTAACTTGAAATCGGCTGCTGCACAAAGAAGACAAATCGGACGTAGATATATATAGGAGCTATATCCAAATTTTGACCGATTATATCCAATTTCAATTGAGTTCGTCCTTAAGCCAAACAAATGATTTGTGCAACATTTAATCTGGATCGGGCAATAAATGCGACCTGTACTTTGTTTACAAAATACATGGACAGACGGACGGACGGACTTACAAAAATCGACTAGGAATGTGATTCAATGCAGATCATTAAAACGAACTATGGTTCTATCTCGTTTCCTCTGGCTTGTTACAAACAAATGCACAAGGACACAATACCCTTGCCACTATGTGGTGTAGGGTATTAAAAGAATTAATTTCTGTAATTTATATAAAGAGGAATACATCTATTATAGACGAAACACAACCTATTGATAATGTTGAATGCGATAAAAAAAATCACGACACTTTTGTACTTGATCAGTAATTAGAATAGACGTTTACAAACGAATCAATTTTTGATCTCAATAAAGAAATTCTATATACGCGAAAAAATATACCTAAAAGCAACAGTGTTGTTATTTATAACGAAAATTTTAAAAATAGTTTACAGTACATTTCTATTTAGAAACCATACACCGTTGTGACGGTTGCCGTTGTTGAACAAATTTGTAATAGATTTTTCTTCTCAATCTAATATATATTATATAAATGGATGGATATCAAATATAACTTGATATTATTGCACCTGAAACGATACTTCGCATTGCCATCTGCCCCATACTCAGTCGATGCTGAAAAATGACAACTGGCAATCAAGAGCCTTAATTTTCATAAAAATTTGCATCGAAAGTAGGTTTAAATGGATGCTAGGGGTACTACATGTTGTAGTACAACCTATGTCTGTTGGTGCTATTTTTCAGTGCTCTACATATTTATTTTTTAATTTTTTTTATATTGTAAATTGAAATTATATAATTTCAAAAGTCCCTAGAGATGGAAAAGTTGCAAACTTCGATATCTAAAGTTTCACGTTTCTGTATTATAATGAATCAATACAATCATATATAAGTAGAGAGATTTTGTATAAAGGCGACAATATTTTACGATTTTGTGATAAATTTTGAATAGCATATAATTGTTAATACTATGAGACACAAGTTATTAATGGGACTGTATTACGTTCAATGAACATCATAAATAATTTTTGATTGCAATTATCTATCATCAAACGCGTCTGAATTATACAAAGGATCACGCGTTTTATAATCCCACCAAACGAATTGAATGTCCAAGATTTATTCGCTTGGTGGGGTGACTTTCAATTTTACACATATTAAACATTAATTGTTGACATTGTTATTTGGTTTCAAAACACTTTTACAGCGAATTAATGCTACGATACGCGTAACTTCACAACAAATATTACTTTGTTATGTTTAAATTCGATCAGAGTGATCTGCGTTTCTCCTGATGCTTCAGTTGACTGTAAATGTTTAATGTACACTCGTCATTAAAAATGTACACACTGCATGAAACATTTCTCTTAGTTAATAGTACTCAAATAAGAAATTTTGTATTAGGATTTAAGCGATAAACTATTCTGTGTTTCGGGACAGTTGTCTTTTTGATTTATAATGTTTAATGAGACTAGGCGTCGGTCTGATTATTCGGTAACCTAAACTTCAAGATGCTTAGGTTAAAAAGCGAAACACATTGCCGGTGGTCAAATGCTAAGTTCCATTAAAAATGAGGTTCCGCAATCGTATTTTTCTTAATTATAAGAGTCGATCTGCTCACGTTTTAATTAATATTGCAATATTAAAAATGAAATTGGCTGTGTTTTTCAGATTACTTTTCGGTACTCTCGGAATTGGCATTCAAAACAAATAATTCTACATTTTTCTCACACGAAGTGACCATTCAAACAAATTTAAACTTCAAAAATTCACAGTTGTCCTGGGAGAAATCGCATGATATCAGTTTAAAATCACTATCAGAATTGTCGTAAAAATAATAATATGGATAAGGAGATTCAATAACCGGGGACGTGATCTGGAAACCAAGCCAATTCAATTTTCTTTGCTTTTTTAATATTACAATATTCCTTAAGTGTTGAAAATTATTGATTTTATCACGTATACTAACATAAAATGTATTTTGTTGACTCAATTGAGAAGTTGTATGAAGAGGTTATGTGTGTGATAATCAATAATATTCTATTTGTAGCCCACAAATATTATTTAAGAAACTAAAAAATATTAAAGGGCCCCATGCAAAGGATAATGAAATTGGATGAGTTTGATCGAAAGGATAATTTTTTACGAAAAAATATATGTATTCTACGACCCAGACTCAATGTTTGCCAATGAATTGTTTTAGCTTCGCCTGTCAGGTGAAACTTTTTGAGCCCAATTTAAAGGTGTGCTGGAGGACTAATTTTGAAAAATTCAGAAAAGTCGCAAACTTGGCCCTTTTATTTTATATATTTCCAAAATGCTTGGGGATAGGTTACAATATAGTTCTCTTGCATGTGGACTTTGTAGTTGATAATAGAAGAAACACACCCATTTTTATAGAGACATATGCGTAATTCACTCAGTATGTGAAATGGGTCTTAAGAATTTACTAATTTTTTAACATATATATTTTCAGATTATTTAAATAGGCCTTGAAGAATAAATAATGGTGAGATACACATGTAAACAGGGAACAACAATAATTGATGTATGTTTCACCCTGTATTTTTTAACAATATTACGATTCCAAATAAGAAACCGTAAAAACGCTGTGTATTAGAAAGCACCTTTGTAAAATAGGTACCTCATTCCTCTTTGCGATGAGCAATGGATTATTGTTTTAGAAATTAGTAAAAAATATAAATTTGGCATTAGCAAAAATTGTAAATGAGATATGACGATTTTATGGCCTCTGTTCCAGTTCTACAAGAATATAAAATATTTTACTACGGTAACCAATTTTCTCTTTATGATATCGAAAAAAATGTCAGAATTAGTAGATTCTTGCAGGTACTGGAACAAAGCATTAAATAGCAAAAAGATTTGCAATTCATTGACATGGTGTTTGTTTTGGAAGAAAAAGTACTTGGCAATATTTAAAATACAAGAAATGTGAGTCCAACTTTACTATTTGAAATGGAAACCACATTTAATTGCAAAAAATTCATATTAAAATATTCGAATAAATAAAATGGAAATGCTTTTTAATCGTATTAATGGCATGTAAGATGAGATTTAAAGACTTAAATACATAGTTTAAAAAACAATAAATTAATATAGAATGGCAAAAACCCTTATACGGAGGTAAAATTTTCGCATTCAATATGGACTTTAATTTGATCGAAATAAAGATTAGATATATGATAATGAACATTTTAATAGAAGCTCTAATATTCATTTACTGTTAGTTTTGACCGAAAATTTCAATTTATCAAATTTAAAATTCACATTTTCAAATTAAGTTCGATATCGAATGCAAGGATTTGGCCCCAGTATGAGCTTTCTTAAATCAACTTTAAACAATAATGATGTTTCGAATCAACATTTCACAATTTGTAAAACACGGAAAGTAAAATATCGTTTGGAAAGAATTCTGTTCTGTGTAATATGGACTTTTTTTTGTAAATTGAATTTGCACTGTAAAACAAGCAATGAATTCGGAAAATTTCAAACTCTATTTTATATTGCTTTTTGTTAATTATTTTCTTTTTGTGTGTGTTTGTTTGTTTTTTCTTTGTTACTTCATATAATGGCACATTTTGTTTGTGATAGTTTTGTTTTGGTTTTTTTTTTAATACTGTTCTAAATACGGATAGAGCTGGGATTGAAGTGTAAAGAATGTGATTCGAGAGACAAGTGTTGGAATTTTTTTATTTAATATACATCTATAAAGATATATTAGATTTTTTTGTATTTTGAAACGTGATGAGATGTCTATATTTTAATCAAAAAAATTGTCTTTGGGTGGAGTGATTTTTGGGGGAGAGTTATCAGTTCGGCTCTATATATGTTAAAAAAAATATTGAAATAGGCCAACCATGTCCCTTGATTGTGTCGTTATCCTCCATAAGATCATAAGTTTTGATGATCATTCAATTATGCTACAGTGATTTTTGTGTGTTGTTTGTAAAAATTGCTATTATTTTGTTATTGTTTTCTTGTTTTTCCTACCATTCTTCATAGATTGTATATCAAAAAATGTTTAAATTTATTGTATATTCCAAGTCTTGTTTAATAATGCTCTTTGTTATTGTTTTTTCTTTTTTAAACGCAATGTTCGTTCTATGAAAAGAATTGACTTTTTGCTATAGTTTTGTGTGTTTGTGAATTGTTGTTCCAGGTGGTGATGGGCGATAAATAGGCATTAAAAAAGACAACAAAGTATATATTCGATAATTTTATACATCTTTAGATGTACATTTTGTCAAATAAAAATATTAAATTATTAATAATACAACACATATTGAATAGAACTTACATTATTATTAGAGTAGGTGTGTTCGTGCGATTTTTCATTGAAATTAAACATCATTGAGTTACACAAAATTGCAATAAAAAAATGAATTAAAAAAGTTAGGTCGGTTTAAGGCAAATATTATAGCTTCCCCATAGCAGCTTTGATTCGAAATTTGTCAGGAATTTCCTGCAAAATCCCAAATCTTAATGTGACGCATAGATTGTTCGAAATTTGCCAGGAATTTCCTGCAAAATCTGAAATTATAATGTGACGCATAGATTTCGACTCTCAGGCGAAACTTATTTACTTAAAACGAAACGAGTATGACATTTCGGAATTATCTCATCAGAAGAGATAGTTTAATCATGGTTTCAAATGTTTGGAAACTTTCGAAAAAAAACTAAAAAATTTCCATGGGCAACATGGAAAGACATGTTAAAAGAAAACATGTGGTCTATATCTACTCGACTGTTTACTTTCAATGCAATCGATCACACCACCTTCCTAAAAAATTAACGTTTGTTTGTTTGTTTTGCTTTACCTTAAAAATTAGAAACAAAAATGTATAATACAATTTTACAAGATGGGCGAGGGATAATTTTTTTTTACAAACATATATGTATATCATACCTACTAAAGTACACGGCCACGTTTGAAGATAGGTTGTTAGGAAGAGAAGTGTGCATATGTGCAATTTATATAGCTACACATCTTAGCTAACTAGCTGCCAGTTTGTTTTTTTTTGTTTGTTTTGTACGACGCTCCACACATCTAACATGGGGGGGAGATTGACATTCTTATACAATCGCGTAATGATTGGATGATGATCCCTAATGAACACCAACTCCGGTATGACTGTTGTTGGAGGTGGATGTAGCTGTCATGTTTGCAGTGGAGGATGATGAGGAGGATGTATTGCCATCAATGTGATTCAAATCCAATTTTTGTACCTCACATTCCAGCTGTTGTAGACAATTCTTTTTGTTGAGGTGATTATTGGTTGAATCGGTTGGCGGTAATGTCGCCCCAGATGTTGGTGACATTGTGGCTATTGTGGTATTGGCAGTGGTTATTGATATTGGTGATGTTGTGGTTGTTGTTGAGGTATTAATCAGTTCTTTTTGTTGTTTTTCATCTTGATGATTTGCATTTGCAGCGGCAGCTGCGGCTGCACCAGCGGCGGCGGCGGCCGCCTGTGATTTTTTGTCCTTGGACTTTTTCAAAGCACTTAAAAGAACATTCTTTTCTTTGTCCTTTGTCTTGCCTTCTTTATCCTTATCCTTGTGTTTGTTGTTCTTTGTAAAGCGTGGAAATATACAACCGTTTGGCAAGAAACCACCAAGTTTCTCCTTTTTGGTGGTTGGTGGAGGATTTAAAGCAGCAGCCGGTTGTGTTACGGCTGTTGTTGGTTGGGCGGCAGGGTTGTTGGCTATGTTATTAGTGGAGGCAAGAGCAGGTGGAGGGGTTGAGTTATTATGACTATTCTTCGCCGTATTATTTGTGGCCAAAGTACAGTTAACAGTTTCAGCCGAGTTTGCGGCATTGGATTCGGTATTATTTGCATTCGTTGCTATAGCACCATTGCTGATTGTGCCCCCATTACTTATTATCTGAGTTTTAGCATCTAAATTATTTGCATTCAGCTGATTGTTCAACTCATTCCTCTGTGTTATGCCCACAACGCCACGATTTGAATCAGTCGAGTCCTTTGTATTATTACCATTACTTGTGATGATATCATTTGGATGATTCTCATCGTGTGGCTTTTCAGTGGGTGAGTGTATTTCGTCAGCTCCCAGCGATGACACGGCTGCTGCAGCCTTATTGTCCAAATGTTCGGCCAGTTGGGCCAGGTTAATGGGTTTCGTTACTTCAATGTCACCGCCATTTTCTTCGTTTTTGTGCATTTCTTGTTGCATTAATAATTTTCTACTTCTAGGTGGAGTACCTTCACCCATAAAATTACCAATCAAACCTCCGCCCTTGGGGAATATTTGCTGCTGCTGCTGTTGTTGTTGCTGAAGCATTGCTGAGTTATTGCTTAGTCCTGGACTCAAGGAGACGGGTGGTACAGCTCCACCATTTGTTGTTAAATTATGATAATGTTGTTGCTGTTGTTGTTGTCGCTGTTGCATCATTTGTTCTTCTCGCTCGCGATCTCTTTGAGCTTGTACCGCATTCCAGACATCTTTCAGTTCACCGGATATATCACGATCTTTAAGTATAACAGCATTTCTGCAAACAAAGAAAAGAAAGGAGAAAAATCAGTTTAGGAAGAATCGACAAAAAGCGATTAGGTTATAGGGTGATTTTTAGCTATACTCTATTAGGCAACACCAGTTTAAACAGTTCATGAATGTTCCGCAGTTGCTTTTTGGACATTCGTTACAAAATTTCGCTCTAAATTTACATTGTTGAACATTGAACTGGAAAAAAATGTCGCAGCTTTATCGGCCAGTGAGAATGATGATGAATGATGTCTGAGAAATACTTTGATAGCAGAGGTGCAAACCAAGCTCAATGAAAATTGCAGCCTATAACGTTGTTATGGTTACATCGTAATGAGGAACGATCACACCTGAAGTGGGAACGGGGAAATAGCGTTCCTTTTACACCATTCCGTTCAATACAGCTCTATCTCACCTGGACTAATCTCTGGGAATGTATTGGAGTAGCTGTCAAGTATGAAACTGCCGAGGTAGATGCGTTTAATGTGTATATCCCGCCGATTAACACCACTTTTTTGCCCGATATTACCCCGCTTTTGGTAGGCAATAACCAACTTGTGCTAGGAGATTTTAATGTCCACCACGAGTTATGACATTCCTTCCTATCTATGTAATGACCAGTAGATATCAGCGCTGGCAGAACAGATTGACCGCTCCACTCACTGCACGTTAAGCACCCCCCGAATGAGAGGAGAATGTCACAGTTCGCCAGACTTAACCATAGTGTCACCCGGTCCGATAAATGAAAAGACTTGGCAACCCGTCATTTCTACTGCCGCAAAGCATTTTCCGGAACATCATCAAAGTTGCAGCGCCTTGGTAAATACCTGCTAGTCGAATATCCGAAATTAGACCAAATTTCCCAGCAAAGGCAGCTGGACTAGCAAGTGAGCCTGATGATCTCCTTCGTTCCAAACCTATTGATTCCAGAATGAGTGGATTGACAGTGGGTGTCAACCGGTTGGTAAATAGGCATAAGTGGAAAAAGGGTCTAGACCATCTGAAGTGTTGCAGCATTGGAAAAAGAATGATAGGAAGAGGAGCTTGTCGCCTACTTCCGCGCGAGGAAAATTGAAATATCCGGCACCAAATCAATGGCCACACTCTTTAACCCATGGTATGCGACGGTGAGCAGAATGTGCAGGTCGAAGGACATATAATTCCGACACGAACCTCCATAGGGGTCACATTTGATAGTATTCTCAAGTCTATCTGCGACAAAGTGCAAAGTAGGTGCAACTAGGTTCTCAACCCGCAATTATGTTCAGGATGGTGTATTCGTCTTAATTCGTTAGGCACAAAATTACAAAGATGTGCGAAACGTTTACCCGTCGTCGGATACAGGCCTCCAACACCTATTTAATTGCTCTGCCAAACCTACGCTATTCACTCCAGAAGATGTTTGGCTACAGCCTACCTTTTGAGTCTGGAGCAATAACCGGATTAGCAGAAATTAAAGAAAACAGGTGAAGCTGTTACAACAACGAAACGTGCGCCAGCTGTATATATTTCTGTCAAATTTATACTATGCTTACTGATAGATTATACCGACCAGATCCCTCAAGAAACCAATTTGAATAGGGTTTGTCCTTGGGCCATTCAGCTGGTCAAAATTCCATCTCAACCGGGCATAAAATGCAATTCTATGGTAATCACCGAAATTAACTGGGGGTCTATCTTTTTACAAGTTAAACACAAATAGAAAAAGTACCCTGCACCAATGAGGAGTACTGCATAAATAAAATTAGAAGAAATAATAAAATTAATTATTTCCCCCTTTTGAAATGAGGACGCAGCGAAGTTTACATTCTTACTTGTTACCTAATGAATCGATTCTCACCATCCATCATACCAACCCAAGTTGATATGCTCCATGTAGACATACAGAAATGCGAAAACCCATTGACATCCTCACACCATATATATTTCACTAGCAATGTCATTTCATATTTCCCGCCATATTCAAAACTCAACAAAGCAATGGAGGAATACTAGATGTCACCAAGAATAAATGTCACCATCGATCATCTTGATACAACATAGCAGATGATATTGGCTTATTAGGGTTGTTGACTGATCGATCTGTACTGCCAAATACTAAACTAAAAAAGAATGTATGATACGAACGGAGCAGAGAAGCTCCGTCACATTTCACAAAGCAAATGTGTTCAACAGGAAATTCCTCATTAAAATATATATGTATGGACATACATATGTTCAATACACATCTACTCAATGGCTAATATAAAATCGTGCTAAAGAAATGGTCAAAATTTTAGCATAACAAAGCTAATATTTCTTTCATGAATGGCATGCACGCATAATTTTTTTTTGGCAAAGATTTAAAAATGAGGAAAGTAAAGTAGAAGATATTTTTAATGTTGGCAAAAGAACTTGCACATTATCTTGTCATTCATAGAATTTATGTTCCACCCATTTAATTAAGTTATTAAAATCACACATTAATTAAAACACAATTAATTATAATTATCATACACAACAATTACTGTGAAATTTTGCAATCAGCCAAATGGTTTTATATTTACATTCAACATTGGTGCGCCAACTCATTTAGACACACTTTGCAAATATACGCTATTTAATAGACAAACCAAAAAAAATAGTTTGTAAGAAAAATCCCAGAAAGAATACACCAACAAATTGCCAAAAATGCCGACAATCGCCGCCGTAATCTAGACACTGCCGACAGACAGTCGACGGTTGCATATTTCAATTGCAATTATTTCAATTGATATTGAGTTTATTTAGCATACTGTGGAATTTGATGTACTCTGACACGTTGAGGTGTTTTCTTTGCAGCATGCCAAAAATTATATGGACCAATAGTTTTCAATTTCGATAAAATATGAAAAACAGATGCCACCAACATTGCAAATGAATGTGTGAGAGAAGACAAATGAAAAAAATATACCCATGGGTATTTAAGATTTTAAATATGACCTGCCCAAAGCAGCGACAGGTAAACACCACATAGACATGTGTTTATTCAAGTATGAAATGTGTGGAAATAGCATTTCCCCCTCGCAACTCTTCATTTATTCTATCATAAAAAAAATAGAAAATGCTCGTAGGTTCAGCCTGACACTCTAAGTCTCAAAAGTAAGACGTATTATTTCTGGGATGTAATACTCAACCGGTAAGCTATTTTAAACTTTTTCGCAGAGTTTCCATAACTGAGAACCCGAAATATCAGCAAAACCAATAAGTCCCCTAATGGGGGAAATTGTGACATTTTTTGGTTGAGGTAGCAAAAGGGTTCGCAGATATATAACATCTTCACAACACATGTTTCTATAGAAAAAAGAAAGACAAATTTTCCCTATAGAAATAAATCAGGCTCGCTTTCCTGAGAATTGGTACCCTTTGTGGGTTAGGTACCAGAAGGGGTTCACATATATATAACATCTTCACAACAGATCTTTTGTTAGCAATATTTTGTTGTATATGTTAAATTTGAAGAGAGGTGGATGCTTATTTCGCGTTTTTTGAGCGTTTTGTTTTTCAAAATCTTAAACTCTATCGGGGGAAGGACCATATATAACAGATCTTGTGTTGATGGAAATATTGAGATGTAACAAGTCTGAATGGAATCGGATGTTAACTTCGCGTTTTATGAGCTCCATTATTATTCATAATTTTGAGGTACCAGAACGAATGTTCCGATAACTTATATCTTTTTAACAGATCTTGTGTTGATGGAAATATTGAGATGTACCAAGTCTGAAGGGAATCGGATGTTAACTTCGCGTTTTATGAGCTCCATTGATATTCATAATTTTGATCCTTTGTGGGGGAGGTACCAGATGGAATGTTCCGATAACTAATATCTTTTTAACAGATCTTGTGTTGATAGAAATATTGAGATGTGCCAAGTCCGAATCGAATCGGATGTTAATTTCGCGATTTATGAACTTCATGGGTATTCAAAGTCTTTGTCGGGGAGGTACCAGAGTGAATAGACCGATGTATCCAATCTTAACAGCAGATCTTGTGTTAGTAGAAATAAAGGGATATGTGAAATATAAAGAGAACCGGATGCTTATTTTGGATTTTATAATCGTTTTCTTATTCAAAATTTTGACCCTTTGTGAGGGAGATACCAGAAGGAGAAGACCGATATATTCCATTTTCACACCAGACCTTGATAAAAATATTGTGATATGTGTAATTGGAAGACAATCGGAATCTTACATCACATTTAATAAGAGTTGTAATTATTCAAAATTTTGACCCTTTGTGGGGAGGTACTTGATGGAGTGGACCGATATTGTCAAGTTTCACACAAGACCTAGCACTGACGCAACTATTAGGATTTGCAAAGTATGAGCAAAATCGGATTATACTTTCTCATTCTGGGCAAAAAATATATTTTTTGAAAATTTCGACCTTTTGTGTATCGGCCCAGAAGGAGTGGGCCGATATTGCCCATCTCCGAACTCGATCTAAGTTTGACAAAAATATTACGATGTACCAAGTTTGAACCAAATCTGATGCTCCTTTCGAGAGTTATCGTGCGCATCGACCAGCCAGACAGACAGACGGACGGACATCGCTAGACCGACTCCAAATGTTCTGAAACGGATTTGGTCCAAAGAGACACGTTTTGACCTATCAAATTATATATACCCTCTCTAGCCATATGGTTATGGTGGTGGAGTTAAAGAAAAACTTTAAAAATAAATGTATAAGGTTTCAATATTCGAACGAGTTTTGTTTTTAACTGCAAATTTCGGTGAAAATGGGTAGGAGAATCCTGTTAAAGACCTTGAAATACCATAAAGTGGGCTATCTAAAGAAAAAAAACAACACAGGAACGTCCAGTTACGTGACAATTTTTAAGGAATCTTAGAGGTCCAAACGTGGATTCCTCAAAAACAATTTTTTTAAAAAAATTTAAAAAAAAATTTACAGATACTACGGATGTCAAATTTTTTTTCCAAAATATTCTCTGAATGGCATTTGAAGGTCCAAAATTTGGATTTTTAAGATATTGTTTTTCAAAGGACTATTAGGAGTTGAAAATAGACTTTTTTAAATTTTAAAAACTTTTAAAATAGTTTTTTTTTTTCGTGGGCCATTGGGGTTAAAGAGCATATTTTTTAATGAATATTTCTTTAATGAGTATTGAAGTGTCAAATGTAAGCATGTTTTTCAAGGACAATTAGAGGGCCAATATTTATTTTTAAAAAGGTTTTTCAATGGACTTTAATAAGTCCAACATTAGATTTTTTAAGATTATTTCTATTATTGTTATAAAGATGAGCTGAACTGTGCAAGGGATAACGATGGAATTTTAGACAAAGGGAATATAAAAAAGTTTTTGTCATAGGAGCTGCTTTTTTAATAACTCCTGGTGAGTATATCTCCCAGAAAAAAAAAAACAAGAAACTGATGAGGATTAGTGTCTCTCCGAAACCAAAGTCTTTCCTACCTTATCCTTTGGGTCAGATGATGTAATATGTTGCAATAATGAATATATGGTCCAAGACGACAAATAGTAAACTGATACTGACTACTGGAGGCTGTGTGCGGACGAAGAAAAATATGATTTTTTACAGCAGCGAATGTGAAGCCGTCAACCATCCTTCAACTGGCCAAAAGCTTCAAGTGACAACAACGCTCCAAGTATCCATCCAGATTTGAATGGACCACTCTTAATATTACTCTGGTAACCGAATAGTTTATGCAAATGGCAGGGCAGAGTAACGGAACTTAATACATTTAACTCATCTACGACTTTCAAACAAAACACAGGCCTGTGGAAGTTATGTTCACCTATTGAATTTTATTCGAGTCCTGGCGTGACCATTAAAAATTACATTCTCACCGATCTAAAATATATATCACTTTTAGTATTTGAACTTATTGCTACGGGGTCTAACAGTTTAAAAGAAACATTCTTTGGCACAACAAGAAGCAAGGCAATCACCCGGCATCAACTGTTGTTTGGCTAATATTAACGCATACGTGCGACAGTGGAATGTCGTTGGTTCAATAATGTCATGCTTGAAGAACAAAATAGCAAACCCGAGAAATGTGTTGACACACACACTGAATTGTCATCAAGCCATACCGCCGCCATGGTCTATTCCTATTCCCATAAATATATATGTTGGCAGGCGGCAGAAATACTTAGAGACTACATATAATTGAATACGATTTTCTTTTCACTTCAATTAAAGTGTTTTTCGATGGCAAGTGTTCAAATGGATGGTAGTCATCCGACGTCTACATTGCTAAACACACATGAGCCGTTCCAAGCCAAAAGAATGCGCCAATGTCGGTGTGTAATTTGAGCATATATACAGATACATATATGCGTATCTGCGTACATTTTCTTCTCATTTTAGATAAGAAACGATACAAATGTTAAAGATCATACCGAATGGCTGGGGATGGGATGAGTCAATTATTTTATTTTCAATTGAATGACTACCAGAACCAGTGACAGAAAAAATAGAAAATAACCCATGAGAAAATAAAGCGGATCCAATGTTTTTCTTCACATACCAGACAACATAGAAATGATATCGCATAACTTTTTTAATACAGTGTTGCGCACAATAAATTTTCAAACATTTCACATTTTTTCATCAACAATTGGCAATTTATTTATTAGTTCTCAAGAACAATGTTTTCCTAACAACTTTTTTTGTTTAAAAAATGTTCTGAACTGAATTTTGTTTCACCATAAGAATTAAGATTATCAAAATACCGATTATCGGTTAGTATCATTATCATTCTGCCACCGCGCTAGAACCTATTATGAGCTACAAATAGCAATTTTTATCATAATATCGAATATCGGCAGGTACCGTAACATGGGGGCTATACCAAAATGTGGACCTTTACATATAACGTTTCACTACCGAAACTAGAAACTATTATGTCCCACAAATGCCAATTTTTAGACAAATCCGTGAAAAATGTGACAAAAATCACCAATATTCCGAATATCGGGAGGTACCGTTACATGAGGGCAATACCAAAATGTGGTCCTATACATACAATGTTTCGCTACCGGAACTAGAAACCATTATGACCCACAAATACCAATTTTTAGACAAATCCGCGAAAATAGTGTGGCAAAAATCATCAAAATACGGAATATCGAAAGTTACCGTTATATGGTGCTATACCAAAACGTGACCATATACATACAACGTTTCCATTGTACCCTACAAATGCGCACGAGCAAGAACCCATTACGAACTACAAATACCAATTTCTGGAAAAATCCGCTAAAAAATGTGGCAAAAATCATCAAAACACCGAATATTGGCAGGTACCGTTGTATGAGGACTATACCAAAACGTGGACCTATATATCTTATTTTTAATACAAACTATCCTAGACACAATACATATTGTTCTGGTAAATTTTGACGCGCTACGTCAAATAATCTGTGATTACAACAGACAAACAGACAGATAGACGAACACATTTAGTTCGACTTAGAATTTTATGATGATTATAAATATATATACTTTATGGGGTCTACGACGAATATTTAGGGATGTTACAAACGGAATGACAAAGTTAATATACCCTCCTATCCAAGTTTAAAAGCTTATGAAAATATCGCTCAAACAATATGGTTTTGATTTTTTTATCTTGGATGGTACGGGGAAGCTCCTTATAGTCAAATCTAGCAAGGATTATTAAATTTATTCGAAGACCTACTTAAATAGTTATCAATTTTTGCAAATTGATAAATTTTCCCTCTTGACACACCTGGGTGAAGATTTCTGTATGACATATAATTGCAAGGATAACTCACATGGTAACACTCAAGCAGGTACTGCAAAGAAAGCATATAATGATGCTAACGTAAGGGAATATCCTTCGTTTCCTCATGTAAATGGTCCGCAGAAGTCATGAGGACGCATTCTATTGCAGTTTTCAGGGCGGCATTCCGTAATTTATATAATTGTCCATTTCGTTACACTCTTATACGCAGACCACACTAGAACCGTATAGCTAACCACAGTCCGACCTATCGTCTTATAAGAGGTCAACAAGGTTTCCATATCCGCACCCAAATGCTGTCGGCTAGCGCCTTGAAGACTTTGTTTGTTAAATACTATACATCCACTGTGCGATATTTTCATAAACTTTCAAACGTTACCGAAACCGGATCTGTAGAATCTGTTCTAACGTGGAATTTGTACCCGAGTCACAGTACCCAATATATCAGGAATGTTATTGGAGTTTTTCGGAGTGGGCCGAAGGAAATTCAAGTCCGTTTTTCTCTATAAAACTCAATTACAAATTTTGCAAATTTTGTGAAAATATACATCATGAAATACTTCACACTTTTCAGTGATAGAGATGTTGTTTGAAAAATTACAAATCATATGGCAGATGATAATATTTTTAATACTGTCTTTTTGGACTGAATTATTGATTAATGCGAAATATATTTATTTTTGTTTTTGATGCTTCTGATAGATTTTGAATGCTTTCCTTTTTTTTGTCAACATGTGTGTATACGGAAATGCAAAGCAAAGTGGGCTTTGGAATGGGTGGCTATTATATACACACATAAAACATTCCTGCAAATAACCCCTGCTGATAATGTAGAAATTAAAAATGGTTGTATTAAACCCCAAGAGAAAAAGTGGTCGCAGAAAATTCATTTACAAAAGTGCCTATGCATTCTACAAAAAAAAAAAAAAGATTTGAAATCTTTAAACCTGTTATGTCTTTTGCATTTTTGAAAATTAAAACCCATTCCATTTTCTGGCAGGGACACCAAGACGTAATGGTGGTTGATTTTCGCTCCACAAAACCGATGGTATGAGATATGCATTAAATGGCGACGGTGCACGCTTCATGTACTTTGCCAGAAAAACCGTAGGCTACACACATATAAAACCTTTCATCTTCATTAATAATCAACAATATATCTTTAATGTTGCACAGTCATATGTCGGGAAAATAAAATATGTCACATCAATTTACGTTTGATAAGGGTTCAAGAAAACCGGACAGCTATGGAAAAAATTCCAAGTATATATTTTTTTGCAAGGATGGTAATATGTATGCATTTGTGTGTGAGTGTGTGTGTGGGAAGGATTTTGTTACAGGGCGTTGTCTTTCATGTAGGTATATACACAAAGGATAGCATTCTTGTTTTGTACAGTACCAATTCGTACTTACCTTACTAATTTAACACCAGGATTCATGGCCTCAACAAAATCACACATTAACTCAACCATGGCACGTCTTTCTTCGGGGTCTTTGCTATGGCGGCCGGAATCTTTTAATACTTCTGGATTGGCCATAACAGCAAATACAATGGGAGGACTACGGGGACTGCCAGGTGGTACCTTGAAACAATACAAAAAAAATATACACAAATACAGACATTAGACATAATTTCCAAGGCAAAGTTTAGAAACTATTTAATAGGAAAATAAATTTAACTTACCCTCATGCCGCCATACAACGGTATGGGATCACTGGGTTCCTGAGGTATAACAATACGCGTCCAACTCAGCACATTGATGAATAACTCCTCACCGGCCTCGGTTGTGGTACGTATACACATATGGGGTTGTGGGGGATTCTTAAAATGTCTGTAAGCACGCGAATGCCGGTAACTGTGAGGAGGTGGCGATGATGCAGCCGCAGCTTGTAATAAACTTAGGCCCGGACTCATTTGCTGATGATTGCCGGTAACCATGCCATCCCGCTCCAAGGCCCCAGTTAGTGAATTTTCATTTTGATTAAATGTGTCTGAATTTTCCGTCGTCGCCATTGTGCCTGACTCATCTTCCATCGCTGCATGATTTTGATTATTGCTTGTGTTGTCGTGTTGGTCACTATTGATGGCATCAGGAACATTATGGAGGCTTTTGTTGGTATCCGCATTGGATTTCGTGTCTTCTGTGCCACCAACACTGGAAGTACATGTTTGAGGCGGCTGTTGCTGCTGATTTCGGTGTGTATGTTCTTCTTGCTGCTGCTGGTCTGTATCCGTTGAGGTTAGATAACGAAATGAATTCGACATGTTGGAGAATTTTTCAAAGTCCCCGGTTGTTTTGTGTTGATGATTTACCTGATACATATACACAAACGCGCTCTCTCCGGCAACCGAGTGCGCCAGCAAACACGGAAAGAGAACCGACACACGTTCTCACACACTGAATTCACACACCAAGAGAGATAGAGAGAGAACACAAAAATATAAGGGACACTATTTGTTTTGTTGTTTTTCTTTAAAAATAATTCTTTGTAGATTTGTTTTAATGTTTATCCATGCACATTTCCTGCGAAAATAATAATAACAATTTTATTTATTTTATTAATTTATAATAATTACACAGCAAATAAATGAAAACAATTGCCCAGCCGGCCGGGCCTGTTTACAAATTCTTCTTCTTTGTTACGTTGTTGCCTTTTGTTGTGTGGAGTATGTTCAGTGTGTTATGTCAATGTGCAGAGTTGTATTAGAATAGTAGCAGGAAATTTGCAAAAGAAACCTCCTCCTTCTTCTTCTTTCTCAGCACAACAGCCCTTTATGGAAAAAAGCGTTTTAACAACTTTTTTTTATAATTTTCAACTTTATATTTATGTGAAAAATATTTTTTATATTTATTTGTGTAGTTTAAACTATTTGACAATTATTTAATTGCCACTCTACAGCACTCTCCACTATATAACACACTTCACACACTCTGGCTGTCTGTTTATAGCCTTTTACACCAAAGTTCAAAAGTCCTTTAATGTGTCATTTGACATTTTTACTCGGGCTTTTCTCCCCTAACAATTTCACTTTTACACACATTTAAATAAATCACCACGCGCAATTAATCGCAAGTTTCAATTGCTAGTTTTTATTTTCGTTCGTCGGCTGTGTGGTTCCTTTGTCTGCGGTATGCAAAATAGGAATAACAGGGGAAATGAAAATTAAATTGTAATCGGCTCTCTGGGAAAATTTTCAATAATAACACTTTGTAAGAAAATCCTTTCCAGGTAATTTTGTTATAATCCTTCTCGGTTAGGATTTACGTTGTATTTGTAAGGATAAAAACAGGTAAATTACACTTTTACATCTGCAATCCAGTCCACCACCAACACCCTTCATTGATTATGAGCGAAATAATTCAATTTCTTGGTGAGCATTTTTCATTTTATTGCTGCCTACTGTTGCAGTGACCACAATTGAAGCAAAAACAGAAGAAATAATTACGGAAATTTTTAATTTTAGAACTTCGACTGTTCCTTGGTATTTTTGTTGTTGTTTTTCGTCTTCAAGTGCTTTTTGTACTTTACATGAACAACACTGCCATCATGCGTTGTTGTCCGCTGTTTGCAGGCCGACTACTTGCTCCCGTTTTCCAATTTATTTTTCTTCTTCTACTTTTCTTTACAAGAACAACGACAACAACAACAGCAGCATCGAAGCACATAAACTGGTCCTGTTTTTCTCATCACATCATTGGGTTTCTTCACAAAAAGCAAGCAAATGCACGCACCACACACCGTTCTCGGGAATTGAATGGAACTTGATGTTTGTTTTTGTTGTTGTATTGTTTCTTTGTTTTTGCTGTAGTTTAATGTTCGCTCATTTAGTTGGATTGCATTCATTGCTGGGATTTTCTTCTGCCCTCCTTCCACTTTTCAACCATTCGACTTTGTAATGCATATTTTTTTGTTTATTTTACCATTCAACAGACATTAAAAGTTTGTTTATTTTCTGCTTAAAATGCTTCCAATTCAATTCATCTTCTATTTTTATGTTTCTTTCACCTAGGAATTGTGAAAGAACACCAACTCCACCACACCACACACTAAATAAACATTTTTATGTAGTCTGTTTTTATGAACTCTTCGTTTTTGTTGTACCGAGAAGTTTTTCCATGCACTTCCTACGCAGCAGTCAGCCAGTCTCCTCTACTCAATAATTATTTTTCCTTCTCTTCTTTTCTGGGCCAATGAAAAGAAAATCATATTTTGAGAGTACACACAAAATGCATGTTTGAATGAGGTTTTTTTATTAAATTGTTTGTAAAGTAGCATTTATTTTATTAGATTAGCACCTCCACTGTTTTTTCGACAAAAGCCGCACTATTTTAAATTAAAAAATGCAAAGAAAATGCGTAAAATTAAGGTTTTCAAGAAAAACAAGTGTACCGAACCGCAAGCTCACACAAGAATGCCGAACAAAGAGCCAATAAGAAAATAGAGAAGAAGAGAAACAAAGCGGAAATGCGCGATAAAAGTAAAAATCAAAGCAAAAACAGCAATTGTTAGAAGGGTTCTAGAAGATCGAAAAATTTCTACAGGGCTCTAGAATATTGACAAGGGTTCTAGAAACAATATTTTCTCCCAACAAAGCAGCCGTTAAAGATTTTATTTTTTGAAACATATTTTTTCTTCTCTGTGGCGTAGGGTAATATCCGGAAAAAGAGGGTTTGGCGGCTCGTTGTCGATTCACAATCGACACGCTACTAAAAGCGCGGAATAGAAATATATGGTTTAGAAAACCAAAATTAAAAATCGAGTTTTATCTGACTAATGTATATGAACACAAAACCGACAGTCATGTATGAATTTCAGGGTTTACAATTGGTGAGACCATCATGTGCTGTTAAAAGATACAATTGTGCTAAAGACATGCTTAAACAACAAAAAACCTGAGCGAAAATATTGACGTTTTAGTAGTAAATGCAATTGAAAACGTCAATGGAATTCAATTTTGAATAGGAATATTTGGTTTAGAGAAAACGACCGATGGTCGCTCTCCGCTTGTATTAATCGACCGTGGCACCCGAATAAATGCCGAATATTATCGGAGGGTGTATTAAAGCCTTGGGCACGCAAACATTTTGGCCGCAGACCTTGGACATTTCAACAGGACTCAGCACCATCGCACTCAGCACGCGCCACCCAAGAATGGTTACAAAATGAGGTTTCTCGCTTCATTTTCAGCGCACAATGACCACCAAAATCTCCGGATACCAATCCGTTCGGCTATTGTGTCTGGAGTATTTTGGAAAGCAAGGTTGGTACTAAAAATGCCAAAGTGTCGATCACCTCAAGGAAGCGCTTTGGCGGGTATGGACAAAATACCGCAGAGCAACATTCGGGCAGCGTGTGACGGTTTCATTGGCCGTTTGAAGGTCATTATTCATGGCAAAGGTGACCAATTCGAACAAATCTAAACTTATTTTAACATTTTATGCTATTTCCGACATTTTTTGCTTTCATTCATTAAAATTAAAAAAAAAATGTAAAAATTATGTCGTTTGACTTTGTTTCAGTTTTTTTTATCTCACCCTGTAAAGATCTAAGGGTGAGAATATATAAAACCCTGTTTTGACTTGCTTAAGTTATCAGCTGGCTTCTTCGTAGAGGAACAAAAAAGTTTTAGGTTGACTTAGTTCGATTATGGCCCCACGCTCCTTTGTTCATTTTCGAAGCAGCCAGCCGATGACTTAAGCCAGTCAAAAAAGAGTTTTATGTATTTTCACCTTTAGTTAACTTCAAGTACTTTCGGTTCCCCAAAACCAGGCAATGCTTAGTACTTTTTAGTCCATTTTAATTTTCTAAAACTTCACCATCCAATCAATTTTAATTTTCTAAAACTTCACCATCCAATCAATGATTGGGCAAAAATCTCTTAAATATAATTGCTTGTTTGTAGACGTGTTACCCGACGGGTAAGTAATCATTCCACGCGAATACTTTCTGACCCATTGCGATTAATAATTAAATAGTTCCAGAAAGAAAAGAACCAGTGAGGGTGTTGATGTTCACATTATTTAACACATTTATATAGAACGCCCTCTAGTATCCAAGTTTTTGTGGTTTTAATCAACTCAAACATCAACTACACAAATTTATACTAGTTCTCACTAGATGGCACTCATGATGTCTTTTTTCAAAATGAAGACAAACAACCTTTTTTGTTTAGCGAATTCACCCCTCAACGTATCAAAGAGGTAAAAAGGCAAAAAGCTTTAGCAAAGTTCTCATAACCGTCAACACAGATCAAACGGCACGGCCAGCAACTTGGCTGGTAGCAAAGTTTCCAACTTGAATTCAGTTTATTCGTAACTCTTACAGTTTAAAGCCACACTTAGCGGAAGAAACAGATTGTGTGCTTCGTGTTTTGTGACCGTTGTTAATAAGAAAACAAAAAAAAAAAACAAGAAGTGAAAAACGAACGACAACGAAGTAGAAGAAAAAGACGGCTACGAGACGGGTGTTTGGAAACATGTGTAGGTTCAAACGCAGCAACAAATGCAATGCTTTAATACACTCCCTCTCCTACTCCACCCCCAACGGCACCATATTAAAAACAAAACGAAATAAATAAAGAAAAATAAATCAAAGAGTAAAAAACAAATACAATCACACATACCAATGCATATTGTGAACAAAATTTTCAAATACATTGAAAAGTGTTTTTAATAAAAAAAAGTTTTCTATGCAACAACGTCTAACAAGAAAATAGCTGTTAGGCCAAAGAAAATTTCAAAAGAAAATGTATGCATGAAAAGCAGTTGTAATGTGTAGTGAAACATGAAAATAAAACAAGTACACAAAAATTGCCATAAAGTTGTTGCAATGGAAAAAAGAAAATGAAAACATGACTAACATAGGTTTTCTCTGTGAATTCAAATTCAATTTCAAATGGTAGTGAGAAAAATTAAAAAAAAAAAAAAACACTGTGTGATTGTTAAAGAGAAATAAAAAAACAACAAAAATCTACCTTAAAAATAACGATCTGAAAGAAATAACACTAAAAAAATCTTGAAATTGTTTACATTTAATTTCACTAAAATCCAAAATGTTTTTTTAAGATGTCACCCAATTTGCCCGGAGAATTTGTAGAAATTTCTTTAGAAAATAATTTAAGCCGATTGTTTTTTTTACAATTCACTTAAATGGCTTTGAAAAGTCATGATCTATAATTGCTACCAGTTTCGGCACTGCTCTCATTGTGTGTCAAGTATTTGATCGGGTTTAGAGTGTTCAAGAGCTACATACGGAGAGAGAGAGGAAATTAAAAAAAAAAAACAAAGTAAAATCAAATCATAGCAAAACACCACAAATTATAATGTGAAAAGAAAACAACAGCAATTTATGGCACCTACACTGCTACACCTGTTGCTCCATGTTGTATTGTTGTTGTGTTCTACTCCCATATGCTCTATTCTCCAACACACTCTCTCTCTCACTCTCCCATTAACAGTACTCTACGTTTGTTCTGTGTGTATTGTGTCGTTTGATATTTGATTTCTAATGAAATAAACAAACACGACGACAAGTGCTTGAAAGTCTTCTGTTTTTAGTGTTTTTATTCTTAATTCTTTTAATTTTTAGTTAAATAATAGTTATTTTTTAAGCCTTATGCTGTAAATCATCAATGCATGCTAATATATTTGAAAAAAGTGTCAAAAAATAGTTTCCTTTTGAAAAAATAAAAATATTTTATTATAATTCCAATGAAAAAAGTCATAATTATTTGTTAATGTGTGCAATTGAAAATTAAATATTTTTTTTTGAAAAAGTAAATCGAAACGTGTTATGTGTGTTTTAATTTCAAATTTCTGTCTCCCTCTCTCTCTCTGCTTCCTGACTAGTTTGGTTATTCACCCATTCAGAATTCATGGCTTGAATATTGTTTGGAGCTAGCTGTTCAATTACAAAATTGGATTACATTTTCAAATGGCAGTAAAGGTAAGTGAAAAGCGAAGTGGTCAATAATTATAAAACGTCAATAGATAAATAGATACACAGCCTTTCAAAAGTTTTACACGGCTGGCAATATTCAGTTTTCTTGGGGGAAATCGTTTATATGTTTCATTTTTTGGTAAAAAGATTCAAAATAGATTTTCGAAAAATGTATAAATATGCAAGAGTAGTGAAATAACTGACTGACTACGAATTAACGCCCGGACGAGGCTGAAAGTACAATCTTGAAATTTTGCATGAGGGTCAGTAAGTACTAATAATTCAATACTTTGTGTTGGACAAACGAAATAAGCTAGAATTCTAAAATTTGGAATGAGAATCACTAATGGAGTGCAAGATAGATGTACCAAAGGGTGTATGGAAAGTCGAAATTTAAGGTTACGTACTAAATTTAAGGTTGTACTAAACTTCTTAAATGGTATCATTTGGTATTATGTGAACGGATAGAGCTAAATACTTGAAATTTGGTATGACAAAGTAAGTTTGATACATGTCGGTTGTTTTTTGGGAAATGTGTACTAAGTGTGCGAATTGTACTACATGGTACCAAATTTGGAACAGTCTGGTTTAGGGTAAATTAATGGTGTGAAATTTTGAAATTTTTTATTGGGGTCCCTGTTGGTACTAAAGATGTGGATTTGGAAATATGTACAACAACAGCACAAAAAGTACCAAATAGTACAATATTTGGTACAATTTGGTATTGGTTGCACAGATAAGGTTTTAAATCTGAAATGTGGTTTAGGGTCGCTGTTTGTGTTTAGTCTGGACATATGGTGGAGGTTTCAGAAATGGTATTAAATTTGGCTTTGGTTCAAGTAATTGGAAATGTGTACTATAAAATGTACGAAAAGTACATAAATGGCACTAAGTTTGTCTATTGGGTGAAGGAATAGAGCTGAAATCCCGAAATTTTATATTGAGGGGGTAATGGAAATGTGTACATTAATTGTATGAAAAGTACTACAGGGTTGCCCATATTTGACGGACCCATCTCTTAACGCCATAACTTTTGACAGAGATGTCACATCGCTTAATGACATACCGCGTTTGAAGCGTCAGTCCAAGCAGATTTTTACCATGAACCAATACACGCCACGCGAGCGCTCTGAAATTTACATTCAACAGAAGAAGTGAATTGTGATAACTCATCGTGCTTTTAAAACATTAAAAAATGTGAGAAGTGCGCCTTCTAAGAACACCATTAAGCGTTTATACGAAAAATTTTCGACTGGTAAGGCTCTTTCTAATCCGAAGAGGCCATATAAAAGTCGACCAAGACGATCTGTACATGGTACTAAATTGGCTATGGGGTGAAAGAAAAGAGCTAGAATCCTGAAATTCGATATATATGTCACTGTTGCTGCCTGTGGCTGAGAGAAGAAACTGATAGGGGATATGCGTACTATAATTGTAATAAATAGTACTAAATTGGGTAACGGGAAAATTAAAGAGCTGAGATCCTGAAATTTGATAATTAGGTCGCTGTTAATTTGTTGCCTGGATATATGTAGATGGTTTCGGAAATGTGCACTATAATTGTACAAAAAGTACTAAATGGCACTAAATTTTCAGTTGGGGGCTCTATTGATATCTGCAATTGAGATTTTACTAATGCGTACTACAATTCTTCGACTATTAAAATGGTACTAATTTTGAATCACTGTTGTTGTTTTAGTAGATGTAGGTTATTTTGGATTTGAGTACTAAATGTTTATAAATTTGGTATTGGGTGAGGGGATAGAGCTGAAATTCGGAAATTTGACATTAAGGTCACTGTTAGCGTCTAGGGTTTACATATGGAGATATAGAAATAGTTTTAGACAAAAAATAATTTCATAGTGAAATTTCAATAAACCCACATAAGGTAATCCTAAAATGTATTTTTATTAAATGGGATTTTCCGACGTTTGGATAGGATTCAAACTTTTGATGAGTTCTGGACCTAAAGTAGAATTTTAAAAAAGGACCAAAAAGATCCCTTTGTTGACTTGCTAAAGGGTTACATTTTTTTTAACAAAGTAATCCTCGTATTGTCATCAATTATATTGCCGATGACGCTATATACCCAAACTGCAAGGAATCCATAGAATCTAAATCCTAAAATTTAAAAAAAATATGGAAGAGGGGGAACTTTCCTCACGTATTTAGTTTACGTTGCAATGTAAACTTTTAAAACGTCGATATACATCTTTTCTGTTTTTGCCTTTACTTTCCTAATCTACTGGATTCTTCCTGTAATTATTTCTTTGTGCTGGACAGAGTAATTTACGATTATAGCTCTGAAACGTCTTCAATAATATTCCACAATCATTAATTTGTTCATAAAAAATTAAATCTTATCTTATGTCAAAAGACGGATATTGAAATCACTTCTTAAAAATTGTATACGTCAATTGAAACTCATTATCAAAAAATTCAAATTTGTTCTTATCCCATCAAGAGGTTCGACTCTTTAATTTGTGATTATTTCAAATCTGCAAATAAGTGCCACATACTTATATAGAATGCTGAAGAAATCACATTTAATGATGCCTTTTCTTTGTTTCCATCTCCATAATTGGATTTCATCAATTCTAAACAAAAGATTACAAAATCTAAATTTTCGATAATTGTGAGTATTTTAGATGGGTGGATGGAGGGACAGACACACATCAGCACCATCATCATCACATTATCTCACCCCAAACGAACAGTAGCGGAAATATATGCTTATTGTTATTAACATTATGACTATTATTTATTGAAAAACAAACACGAAATCAAAGTAAAGAGAAAACGCCCCGTCAGCGATTATCAAAAATAGATATTCCTCAAAAAAATAAGCAATTTGAAAAGAATTGCAACAGCCATTAAAACAAAAGATGCTGCTGTGTATCAGGTTGTTAACCATTTCAATCAAATTTATCGACATCGTCATCGGCTTTATTATTATCAAACACCCCATCACCATCGTCATCATCATCGTTTCTCCACCATCCACTACGTCAGAGTCATAAAACAAATTATTAACAAATTTTGCTGCCAAACTCAAGAAATCTCTTTCTCAAATATGAGGGTGTTATATTGTTTAATTTCAATTCATTTCAGATTGAATTTGATTTGAGTTTTTTTTTCTGTCGTTTTCAAATATATTTCACTTGGTTATCATTTGCTGCTGCCTGTTTAGGTTTTTATTTGTTTTGTGGTGCTTGAAAGTATCAAAATGATTGACAGGTTAGGTCATAAATAAATAATATCGTTTGGATTTTTTTATTATAAAGATTTCCTTATACGGCAGCTTAAATGGAAATTATTGTAGCCATACAGTGTAAACGTTAATGGTTGGTTGTATTTTGTGCAATGAAGTTTATTTGTTTTAAGTCTTTTTCTAAGTGCCGTCCCATTATCATTACGTAGGAAAGTCCTATAGTATTCTCTGACGAGCAAGTGTCAGCAACTTCTTCGGCGCAAAGTCCAACTTAATGATTCGTCCACATTTTAGATTCGTTCCAAAAGTTCGTGTTAGGTCTTCTTAGGAATCAAAATGCACAATTTGTTTGGTTTGACAAAAAGTTTTAATCAAAAATTTAACGCACCATAGTAAATTTTCGGACTTTCAATATTTTATTCATTATTCATGTTTTTTCTTTTTCGGAAAGAATAATAGGATGAATAGGATGGATGATGAATGCTTACCTTTTTCACCAAAAAATCTTAAAAATCTTCAAAATTTTGAAGTTTATTGAGGAGGATATTGGTAAAACCATTGCACAACAAACCCACATCCAATTTTGATTTTCAAAACTTTTTCCACGTCTTCGTATGTATATCAATATCTCTATTACTTCACCCAATACATTTAGTACGCATATTCATCCTATACACCAACAGTACTTTTTGAATGGTTAGAGTACGTATTTGCAAAACTACCACCAGATCTCAATACCAGATACCAACAGTGAGCTTAATATCAAATTTTGTGATTCCAGTTCAATACGTTCAAAACCAAATTTAGTAACATTTAGTATTTTTCGTATAATTTTAGTACTCATTTGCAAAATCCAAATTTCACTGTTTTAGCTCCATCCCTTCAACCAATACCAAGTGTAGTACCACCTCCATATTTTAAGCCCTGATACCAACAAATACCACAGTATCAAATCTCGGAATTCCAGCTCTGTTCCTTCACCTAATACCAAATTTAGTACTCTTTAGTACTTTTCATACCGTTATTGTACACATTTCCAAACCACTTCCATATATCAATCCCAGATACCACCAGAGACCTCAATATCCAATTTCAGGATTACAGCACTATTCCTTCACCCAGGTACTAAATTTAGTACCATTAAGTACTTTTCGTAAAAATATAGGATGAATTTTCAAACCACCGCCAAATATCGAACACAGATACTATTAGTAATCTGCATATCAAATTTCAGAATTTTATCTCTATCCTTTCACCCAATATCAAATATGGTACCATTCCGTACTTTTCGTACAATTATAGTATACATTTCAAAAAAACACCTTCATATGTTCAGGCTACACATGAACAGCGACCCTAATGCTAAATTTCAGATTACAAACACTTTATGTTCACCCAACACCAAAATGTACCTATACATAGTACTTTTTAGTAGTTTTCGTGCACTTTTCTCAAACCTCCTCTTTATCACAAACCAACCACCAACAGCGATCCCAATACAAAATTTCAAAATTCCAGCTTCCTCCGTTCACCCTAAACCAAACAGTACTAAATTTTGTAGAATTTAGTACAGATCGCACACTTCGTACATGTTTCCAAAATCACTTTCATATCAAACGCCTGCGCCCCTAGGACTGGCCAGTTATTTCCTTATTATTTTATGTATATGGATTGTGGGTTCTAGTAGCTTGTTTCGGGAAGGATACAACCGAATGACAAAACCCTCCTTGCCCTGCTTACTATAATGGAGAGTATACAAAATAGTTTTTAGGATTTTAGTTTAGAGTTATTAGCG